CATCGTACCAGGCCCTCTCTTCCCCCACAGTCCATCTCAGGTTTCGCGCACAGCTGCTTCCAGTACGCCATCCAGAAGAAGTGGCCGCTCTACATGAGCACCAAGAACACCATCCTGAAGGCCTACGACGGGCGCTTCAAGGACATCTTCCAGGAGATCTTTGACAAGTAACTTGGCCTCCTCCTTTGTGGCTTCCTGAGGACTCCGTACCTCCTGTCTCTCTGTGCTGTCCCTGTCCCCCCCGGGGAGGCCACTTACCTAGCATTGGGTTCAGTGCTGAGACTTGAGAGGGTCCCCAGCCCACCAGGCTCCCATCCTCCCCCCACACAGTAAGTCTATTGCTCTCAGGCACTACAAGACGGACTTCGACAAACATAAGATCTGGTATGAGCACCGGCTCATCGACGACATGGTGGCCCAGGTCCTCAAGTCCTCAGGTGGCTTCGTGTGGGCCTGTAAGAATTACGATGGAGACGTGCAGTCGGACATCCTGGCGCAGGGTACGCAGGGGACATGTCCCCGAGGGTGCCCTGTGATTCTTCTCTAGGTGGGGGCTTTCAGAAGCAAGGGTAGAAAACTTGAGGGTGTGGCAGGACTTGTCACAGGCTCCCCCTGTGGCTAGCAGGGTCCAAGGCTCCCGGCTTCTAAGTGGGAGGCTCACAAGGAGGTTTGGACTGGTGCATTGCTAGGACTCTCCTCGTAGAGGAAAGGACACATGAACTGGAGTCCTCAAGGGCAGGTTGTCAGTCTAGAGGTTGCTCCTGCCTGGAATGGGCAGCAAGCTGGACTGAGGGCTTTTGTTCTTCTGGGTGGTACCAGCTGTTGACCCCCGGGGAGTATCAGAGGAAATGGCAAACTTTTGGCTTTATCTTGATAAGTGCATTAGTAATTGTCTCTTCAGAACATTCCAGTGTCGGATGGGAGGACAGAAAGCCACAGAAGGACTCATGCTGAAGCTCAGTGGTAGGGTCTATGCTTAGCATACAGGAGGAGGTGAGGCCCTGGGTTCAGTCTCAGCATTAAAGCAGAAGCCAGATGAGAGGCACAAACAATGCTAAGTGTGTGAGGAATGCGTGAACATAAAGATCCAGATGAGATGGGAAAAGGAGCATGCCAGAGAGTCATAGAAGTTGCTCTTTTTTTCTTCCTTGGGCTTTCACAGTGCTTATGTTGTTGGTTTGAAGCCCTGACGTTCTTGGCAATAGAAAAGATTTTTGCTCCATATGTGATGGCTTGAACCAGTAAGCTACTTGATAGGCTAAGGCAGGAAGATCACGTATTTGGAGGCCAACCTGGGCAACTCAGTGAGGCTCTGTCTCTAAGTAAAAAGGTTCGGGTATAGCTCAGTAGTAGAGCACTTATTTAACATGTTTGAGCCTTGGATTCCATGCTCAAGACCACAAAACAAAAAACCAGGAAAAGATCATTTGAGCCGGCCTCTGGATTTGGGAAAACTTTGAAGTAAGTCCCAGAGCTGGAAAGTGATTTTTTTTTTTTTTGGTCTGGGGCTCGAACTCATGATCTTGTTCTTGCCAGGCAGGCACTTAACACTGCTGAGTTAAATCCCCAGCCCTCAAAAGTGATTTAAAAGTAGTTGGAAATGTGAACATGGAAGTGGCCGGCAGGAGCTTTGTGTTTTCTGCTGGAGACCGCGGACCTGTCTGGGATCTTGGGCCCTAGGTATCCGGAGGTGACACACAGGTGACATTGGTGGCTGATGTGAGCCACCCTCTAGGGCTGCCCTGCTCTCTGATGGGCCTGGAGACCTGGGAAGAAGGCAGGAAGCTCCAGGAAGTTCTTGTCCTCCCTGTTTTGCTGGGAAGTGAGCTAAGGCAGCAATAGGCGCAGGCAGCAGGGTGGCCCTGGTGGCTCAGCCCTGCTGCTCTTCGAGGCACTGAGAAATGGGTCCCCACGCTGTAGGGTTCGGATCTCTTGGCTTGATGACGTCTGTGCTGGTTTGCCCGGATGGGAAGACCATAGAGGCAGAGGCTGCTCATGGGACTGTCACCCGCCACTATCGAGAGCACCAGAAGGTATGTGTGGGGCATGTGGCCACACAGGGCCACCCACCTTGGAGTCAGAGTCCCTAGTGGCAGTCTCGGGGTGGGAGGACAGTCTCGGGGTGGGCAGCTGTAGCTGGGGGACTCTTGAGTTGATCCTCTACTGCCTGCCCTTAGGGCCGGCCCACCAGCACCAACCCAATCGCCAGCATCTTTGCATGGACACGTGGCCTAGAGCATCGTGGGAAGCTGGACGGGAACCAGGACCTCATCAGGTGAGTGTGGAAGAGCCAGGGCTGAGTGGCTTGGGGTCCTAACCCATGCAGCAGGGCTAACGATACTGTCCCTACAGGTTTGCACAGACGCTGGAGAAGGTGTGTGTGGAAACTGTGGAGAGTGGGGCCATGACCAAGGACCTAGCGGGCTGCATCCATGGCCTGAGCAAGTACGTGCCTGGCGACAGGCTGGGGTTGGCTTCCATTCTCAGGAGCCAGGGGAGCTCTGGGTGTGGGACAGGACACAGTAACCCTGGGGAGCAGCTCAGGCCAGGGATCCACAGACTGGGCTGGGGAGTGGTTGGTCTGGGTGGTCCTGCTGCTCAGAGCCTCTGTCCCCTCCTGAGCCACCCTGAGCTTTTCCGTGCAGCGCCTGGGCCCTGTTACATGTCTCCTAGAGAAACACAAACAAAATAAAGTCCCCAAAGGGTACCTGCAGGGTTCACTGGGGCCTTTCAGCATGGGTGTCGGGTGGCCTTGGCCTGTAAAGGCCCCGATGCCAGCAGTGTGTCCCTACCCCAGTGTGAAGCTGAACGAGCACTTCCTGAACACCACAGACTTCCTGGACACCATCAAGAGCAACCTGGACAAAGCACTGGGCAAGCAGTAGGGAGCGCTGCCAGCCTCGGGTGCCCTGACCAGGACAAGTGACAGTGGCTCCTGTGGCCCTGCAGCGTGGGTGAGCCTCACAGCCCTCTCTGGAGGCCTTTCTAGGGGACATTTTTTATAAGCGAGATGTTTTTAGAGAATGCGTGCCTTTCCCCTCATGTGACATGGGGCAGGAAGTATGCTTTACCTCAGCAGCCAGCGTGCCCTGCACACTGTAATTTATATCACCCTTGGAACACACGGTGCCATATTTAGCTACTAAAAAGCTCTTCACAAAACCGTTTGCTGTGTTTGTGCCCTTGGGGAAGGAGGCAGGTGGGGCCCAAGGAAGCAGCCCCAGAAGTCTGTGCATTCCCTAGGGATGGGTGCAGCTGCCTCAGGCCACAGTAGGCCAATCAGGGCCACTGCGGGGTGGGTACCAGGGCCAGGCAGCCAGCCTATGGGCTTCCTTGGCCTGAGCTGCTTCTGGGACACCAGGGACACAGGCTGGAAGGTGCCTGGTTTCCTAGCAGGATCCATTCTACCTGCCTTTCTGCTTTGGGATTGTGACTTCCTAAAGCATGGGTCTTCATGGGTGTCTCATTGGTTTTAACCTTCTGAACATCTCTAGGCCTCTACCTGCTTTTCTCTGTAATGAACATGGGCCTTCTTGGGGCCCGTGCATGCGTGCGTGTGTACAGGGGTCCTGTCCTCCAGGCGTGGGTTTATTTTCACATTTTGGAAAACCTAGAAGGGATGATAAAAAGTTGTCCTCCACTTAGGAGGCTGAAGCAGCAGGATTGCCACACGTTTGAGGCCACCCTGGGCTACACAGTGAGTTCTAAGACAGCCTGAATACATAAAGAGATCCTGTCTTAAAAAAACAAAAAAGTTGCTCTGGAGCTGCCTATGTTCAATTTAAAGCACTTCTTTCTATGCAGATTGTATGTCTACTCTGCAGTGTGAAATGTCTGTGGAAGCATTGGCCAGTCTTTACTTGAACAGATAGGCACAGTCAGCCTCTGAGTCTGAAGGTTCCACATCTGTGTATTCAGCCAACCTCGGACTGGAGTTATTGGGGAAGAAATGCACCTGTACACACGCAGGCCTCCCCAGCCTGTCACTACCTGTGAACAATGCAGTACAGTGTAACAGCTCCTCAGCTGGTGTTTGTATTGTCACAGGTGTTACAAGCCAGCTAGAGACACCGTGAGGTATAGAGGAGATTCTGCTGCAGCAGACTGAAACACTGCAAGGAGGCCCAAGAGTGGAGGGCACATTTATTTAACTTCCAAGGGGTACTGACTACAGGGAGGGAGGTTTTATGGGGTTGCGAAGTTGGGGGCGGGGTACAGAGGCAGAGAACTTGGCTTTGGTTCTTACCTTACACATCACAGTGACCAGCTGTGCACCACAGAAACAACTGAAGTGAAACAGGAACTGTAACGGGGGTGGATTCTGTGTTAATTTAGCTCCTTTGGATTTTGGTGTCCATGGCTTGGGTTGGAGCTCCTGGAGCTGATTCGGTGTCAAGAGATGATTATACTTAGGGACCTGAAGATTGGTGGGATCCTCATGGCTCCTGGAACCCTATGGTTGGGGATCTTTTTTTTTTGTTTTGTGGTACTGGGATTGAGCTCATGGCCTTGCCCCTGAGTTACGTGCCTTTTTTATATTTTGAGATCATCCTATGCAGTTCAGGCAGGACTCACTAAGTAGCTCAGGCTGGCTTCAAACTCAGTGAGCCTTCTGCCTCGCCTTCCCAAGTGGTGGGGTTATAGACATGCGTTTCTGTGCTCAGCTTTTTTACTTTTTGAGATAGCATCTCGGTAAACTGTTAACTACCCAAGCTGGGCTTGGACTTACTGTTCTTTCTACCTCAGTGTCCACGATGCTGGGCTCACAGCGGCCTAAGAGCCTGCCTGCTTCTAGTTTCTAGTGCCCTGGCCACTTTGGCATGGGCTCACCCCTTCCTGGGTAGCCGCCTTCAGTTCCTGGCCTCTGCTCGGCTGTCACCAGAATGGTCTCTGGCCCCCGGAGAGTGATGGGCTTTGCTCTGGGTGGGCCCAGAAGCCTCGAGGGACTTCCTTCCAGTGTGGGTCCCCGAGAGATATGGAAAGAAGCACTTGCAGTCACCTCACTAAAGAATATTCATTTATTTATAATTATTGCTAAGTAAACTTCTCTCTTAAACAGGAACATAAAAACACAGTAGGGTTTTGCACAAGTGGGGTCTCTAAATGGTCGGTCCGTTTACACGTGAAAATAAGTTAGAATGGAATCTGTCCAGGAGTCTGCAAGTCACCCGAGAGGCCAGGAGGGTGCAGCCGGAGCTGGGCCAAGGCTGCCCCGCTAGACTGGAGTGTGCTGTCTGCTCCCTTTGCAGTGCCTAGGTCCGAGGCACGGGGCAGGGTCGTTCAAGTAGGAGCCTCGCGGGGGCAGTGCCAGGGCGCCGGAGGAGAGGGGTGGAGAGGAGGGTCCAGCTTCCAGGACACACCCAGGCGCTGGCAGGGGAGAGGAGGAACAGGGTTCTTTTTGGTACCAGGGGAGAAAGACGTTGTGGGAAGAGGTAGTTTGCAGGGGTGATGCTTTCTGCTCAGCAGGAGAAAATGTCTTGTACAGTGACACAGGAGTCACTGCCACCTGAGGGTCATCTCGGCGGGCACCTGGGAGGCCGGAGAGGGGTGGGGTTTGGGGTCTGGGGAGCCACAATTGGGGGACCATGTCTACCCCAGCCCTGTCTATCCATCATCCTAAGGCCTGGCTTGGTCCTTCAGTGAGGGATACAGCCTTGGGGACAGCCCAGCTGTGTCCCTCCAGGTGTCACCTGTGCCAGTGGGGACAGCCCTGCCTGCCCCTCCCCACAGAGGCTGGGAGGCGAGTGGCAGAGTTGGGCACCTGGAGTTCCTGAATGTGCTGTTCCACTGCCCCGGGAGGGGGTGGCAGTGGGTGGGTGAGTGGCCTGGGCTGTCAGGCAGAGGCCCCAGCTGTCCCCAGCGGCTGCCCCAGCTCTCTCAGCTGCACCTCCAGGCCTGAGAGCCTGCATCCCCAGAGCCCGGCCAGGCTGCCCTGGGCTGAGGAGGCACGAAGCACGCACAGCACACAAGAAAGCTTACGTGTGAAAAAAGAAATGCATCTTCATCCAGAAGGATAACAGGCGACACAGAGTTGCAAAGAAAAAATAATAAATTACCTTCATAATACCCCCATTTGTTCAAAAATTGTTTTGTTTTCCTCTATGGTTTTCACTTTTCTTTTTAAATACACTGCTCCTTCCCAGGAACCTGCTAACTTGTGGCTAACCCAATTTCAATGACTAAGGTCCCCTCTTTCCCCACAGGTGGGCCTTGGCCTTCCCTGAGCAGGACCCCTCTGGTCCCCAGGGATACCACACCCTGCCCTGCTACACCTTGGTTTGTGTGTGCCTGACCCAAGGGCGTCCTGGTGTGTTTGGTGGGAGACCTGTGTGTTACCCAGCCCAGCTCAGAACCGGATGACATGCTGAAATCCACGTTAGGGACACTTATTCCAAACAGGACTGCAGGACAGGCTCGGGGTGGTGGGAGGCGCAGCGTCCACTTCCCTACGAGGTGGCGGGACTTGGTGTGAGGCAGGCCCCGAGGTAGAAGGCAGAGGGCCCTGCCGGGCTGTCTGGTGACTGGGAGGGGTGGCCAGGTGGGCAGTGGGGCTTCGGGCCGGGGAGGGTAAGGAGGGCAGTGCTGGCCAGCAGGTGGCTCAAAGATCCCTGGATTGGTCCAGAAGACAAGAGGCCCGGCTCGAGGACCTCTCCCTGCAGTGTCAGGACCCAGAGGCAGCTCTGCAGGCCTGAGGTGGCCCTGTGCCCTGTCTGCCAGCATCTTGCCCCTTCCCGCCCCCAGCAGCAGGTCAGGGAGACCCGGCCTGGGCCTCTCAGTGACCTTGCCCTCACCAGGATGCCCAGCTCCGGCGAGGCCAGTAGTACAGTCTCCATTTGGTCTAAAGGTCCTTAGTGGTACAGAGGACTAGGGGGACGCGGGCCAGGCTATGGGGCAGTGGCCTGGCCTGGGCTGTGGAGTGTAGCCTGAAGCTCGGGCCTTACCCCACACTGCTGCCTGCCACCTCCACCTGCTACACTACAGCACGTTGTAGTAGGCCATCTCCTTCATGGCCTGCCCAGCCAGCGCACCCCCCTCCGCACTGCTGTCCACTCCGCCGTAGGGGTAGGCGTTGTCCTCAAAGTCCTCCAGCTCCTGCTGGCCATCAAGCTCAGAGGCGTCAGGGCCAGCCAGCTCCATTATGGGGTCTGCAAGAGAGGGACAGGGTGAGGCCTGGACACTGTCCTAGGGTACCCCCAGCACCCTCAGGGCTCAAGGTTCTAGGGGCCCCAAGCTATGTGTGCAGGTGCCGTGCTGACGGTGAGGGACCCTAAAAGACTGGTGGCCCTGGCCCTGAGGGCTAAGGGTCTCACTGCACTGACCCTTCTGAGTCCTTCATCATCCTCAGCTCCTGCAGCCTGTCTCCCTGCCCCCCTGCCGGTCAGGCTCCCTCACACCCTCACTGAGCAGGTGCAGGGCCTTTCCCAGAGCTCATAGCGCCCTCACAGATCGAAGGCCACAGTTGGGAGGGGTGAGAGGTTCAGTGGCAGCAGGTTTGAACCTCAAGCAGCTGAGGCAGCAGTTTCTCCTCTGACCTTCAGGTGCTTTAGGCCCGTCCCTCCCGTGGTCTCCTGGGACCGGGTCCTCCAGAGACAGGACCCCCACCCCAAGGTGGGCTACCACAAGGCAGGGCCTCTGCCACTTTATCCCGTTGAAATCTGACTGTAGAGTCCTCACAGTGGGAACAAACCCAGGCAGAACTACTCCAAGAGCGGTCAGGGTGGGACCGGACCCAGGGTCCTGCGGCTCCTCCTCCTCCTGCCCTGTTTGCTGTTTTGGGAGAACAGACCTCAGCCCTTGGGGTGGCCTGACAACGTCTTACAGCATTACAACCTTGACACTGAGTTTGTTGCTGTGCTGTTCTATGACTGCAGGATGTCTAGCAGCCATGCAGTTCCCATTCACTAAATGGCAGTTGTCACCCAAGTTGTGACAACCGTCACCTGTGGGCATACCAGCTCCGGCTGGGAGCCTAGAGTCTATGGTTGATCCCACCCTCCACTAAGGAGTGGCTCAGGAATTAGCATGTGGCCTGATTCTGACCAGTGGGTAGGCAGGAAATGCCTGCTGGGAGCCCTTGGATCTTCCAAAGACTTCGGAGGGCTGAGGGGAGGGGGCACTGGGCGGGAGCCAGGAACCACAGGACCCGGATGGCTGCTGGCAGGCAGCCAGGGCTCTAAAAACAAGCTCCATGAGGTGCTGTGGGAAAACTGCCACCTTGGGATCCCTGTCCCCACTGTCACATCTCAGTCCTGTCCCGCTGGCTGCAGGGAAGGACACTGGCCCACACCTCCCCTCCTCAACTTAGAGAGAGCTTGCAGGGTGTGCGTGAGGGTCTGCTATGCAAGCGTCCATCTGTGAGGGGTGGAGGGAGGGCCCCACCCCACCAGCATGGGCTCTGCTCCATTCTACACTACAGTCTGGTGGCTGCAGGGGGGCTGCGGTCCTGTGTCCTCAGTTACTGCCTCCCAGGGAGACCTTTTCCATGACCCCTGGAAAACGGGACCTAGGACAGTGTCTGGGTGGCTCATCATTTGTAAGAGGGCAGGGTCTGCTCACCCCTCCAGGGGTCTGGATGCAGTGGGTTGGCTGAACTAGCAGCTCTCAAACTTCAGCACTTGGGGTTCCAAATGCAGATTCTTTGGCTGCCCCAAACCTTTAGGATCTGGACTCAAATCAGCATTTAAAAACTCCTCCAAGAGCCGGACGTGGTGGTGCACTCCTGTAATCTCAGTGCTCGGGAGGCTGAGGCAGGCGGATCATTGCAAATTCTAGACCAGCCTGGGCTACAAAGTGAGCCCAAGGCCACCCTGAAGCCCAGTAAGACTCTGTCTCCAAAACCAAAAATAAAATACTCCTCCAGTGAATCACAGCTGGCAGGGATTTGAGACCAACACATGTCAGGTCCAGGCCAGGTCAGAGGGGCTCAAAATGCAGCCCAACAGCAGCATGGGTGAGACCCGGGAATTGTGGGACACGCAGACCTCTTCAACCTGAAACTCCCAGTGTGGACCCCGCAATGTGTCAACAAGCCCTCGGGCTGCTCTGAGTTTACCATGTGGGAGGCTGAAGAAGGAAGATCACAGGTTCAAGCCCAGCACGGTCAGCTTGGTGATCTGATGAGACTGTGTTGAATTTATTTATTTTGTTTGTTTTTTGAGACAAGGTTTCACTTATGTAGCTAAGGCTGGACTAGCGCACACCTGGGAGTCCAGCCTGGTCTCAAACTTGCAATAATCCTCCTGCCTCAGTCTCCCAGGGTGCTGGGATTACTGCAGTGCACCCTCACACCTGGCTTGGGGTCTTTCTTTGATTAGCAGCTCTGGGCAGAGCTCCTAGCAGTGGCATAGTGCTGATGTGCTCTGTGAGAAGCAGAGGGCTACCGAGGACTGCTGACCGGGATCCTCTTGGCCTGCAGAGGTCTTTAGGTGTTACTATGTTTTACTTTGCTTTGTTTTTTTTGCGACTGAGTCTCAAGGCTCACTTGAACTTAAGACCTCCTGCCTCAGTCTCCTGAGCAGTAGAATTATAGATGTACACCACCACACCCAACAGAAGCCTTCTCTGTAACTACTGAAAAACAAACAAACCCAAACTAACAAGTCACCTGCTCCTGCCAGGGCCCCCCAGGCCATTTCTGGTTGGCCACCCCCAAGCTAAGGCCTGGTTGGCCACCCCCACACCAAGGCCAGGGACGTGGCAGCCCAATAGCTGCCATGCAGAAACCCCAGTGGCATGAGGCACGTTTGCCAAGTGCCCTCGGCTCCCTCCTTTCCCTGCACCCTGAGGTGGCCTTGCCCACTGTGAGGCCACAAAGACTTCGGGTTGGTTCAGTGGCACTCCTGGCAGAAGCACACTGGTACTTTGGACCAGCACTGTGGGACAGGCTTCTGCTGACACTGGATGTTTCCGGACAAACTGCTTTGGAGCTGCCTAGCGGGCAGGACATTTGGCCCCTCATGTGTCTGTGGGTTCCACTTACTCTGGCAGATGCTGTGAGGAGTGACTGGCTATTACCCTCTTTGTCCTGGCTGCTGGGAAGCTCACCCCCCTCCACATGTCTCTAGCTCCTCTATGGGGACCTCACTGGGCTCCTCCTTATCTTTCCAGGCGCCATGTCAGCTGTGTATTCTGAACTTGCTTGCGTCCCCTAACTCTGCTCTTCAGCTTCTGCAGCTGTAGGTTGCAGACAGCAGACCTAGCCTCAATGCAAGGACCCCATTAGTGACACAGCACTTGAGAGATAAAGTGACTGCTTTTATTCCTAGTGTTTTTGTGATCCTGAGGGAGCCCCTGAAGGAAGACATAGATGCCCACCATCATCATCAGGCTGGCCCTTGGGGGCTGTCCCCTCTGGCCCTGAGCCTGCTCCAGGAAGCTCTTGGCCTTGGCCACCCTCCCCCTGGCTCTCCCCAAATGAGGGGCTCCTGAGGCCGTGGCACTCAGATGGCCCTGCTCAATTCCTGGTGCTCAGCCCACCCACCTTGGCTGTCCAGGCCGATGTCCATGACGCCGTGCTTGACCTTCATGTGGCGGCTCAGGTTCCCCTTGAGGTTGAACTTGCTGGAGCAGTATGGGCACTTGAAGGGCTTGCTGCCTGCGTGCAGGTGCATGTGGCCCAGCAGGTTGTACATGCGGTTGAAGGACTTGCCGCACACCTGCAACGCCCAGGTGCCATCAGCCCATGTACCGGCCAGCCCCTGCCCACCACGACAGATGGCACCTCAGCTGTCCTTCCTGTGTGACCCCAGGGCTCAAGAAGCAAGAAACAGGCTGTCCTTTCTGTGCTGCAGCCATCGGAAATGCCATAGACCTCTGTCACCTGGAGTCCTGGACCCAGGCCCTCTCTGCTCTGAGCTCCGGAAGTGACTTAGTGACTGCAGTGGTGGCAGCCATCTGTCCAGGACCCCAGCTGGACCTGGTGTCCCCAGAGGGCTCATCCTACCTTGCACTTGAATGGCTTCACAGGTGAGTGTACAATCATGTGGGTCTTGAGGGTCTGCTTCTGCACAAAGGTCTTGAAGCAGATGTGGCACTGGTAGGGCCGGACGCTGGTGTGGATCAGCATGTGCCGCTTCATGTTGGCCTGCAGCGTGAACTCGCGGCCACACACCTCGCACTTGAACTCCTTCACGCCCTGGGGGGAGGGGAGAGGTCAAGGCCACCCCTGGGCAGCCCCGGGGAAGTGACTGCAGCCAGGAGAAAGGCATCAGGGTCGTAGGGTCCACTGACACGGCAGGGACGGTCTCCTCTGGGCATCTCCACAAGGAGGGCACAGGCAGGCCACTCACTCCGGGAGAGGTGCAGAGGGTAGCGGCACCTGCTCACTAGGGTGGGTGTACACGCAGGTCCCACCTGCACACTGTACCTGCTGTCTCGAGGACACGGCCTTCACCTGATGGCCCTGGCCCACTCCATCCACAAAGGACGCGTGTGGGGTTTTTCTTTCCTATTCAGTGCTGCCTCCTGGTGGTCTTTTTGGTCCACAGCCCCTTGAGACAAACTCCCTGCACTGTACGGGATTTCTCAACAGTTCCAAGCCCATCTAGTGACTGGACTAGGGCTATCTTCTAACCCTCCCTGGTGACAAAAGCCACCTGCAGTTCTTGTCCCCATGTGGCCTCTTGGCAGTTCCCCAGAGTCTAATGCTGAGGGGCCTGTGGTGTCCAAGAAATTTTATCTCAACAGGTGCCCCCAGTGTGATTCTTAACACTCCCAGCTCGGGGACCCCCAGTGCTGGGAGACACTCAGGCTTTCCAGGGTGGCAGCACTGTGGCTCCACCTGCAGTCTGTGGAACAGTTGGGGTCAAGGCTGGGAACTGTCCTCCCTGGTAAGTAGGTAATGGAAGAGGAACCTGATGGGACAGATGTGTGTCCCCAGGCGCAGCTGCTGTGCAAATGCTGTACATCTTTTACTATGTGTCTGCTGCTGGGGGTTGAGCCCCGGTTAGCACTCTACATTTTAAGGATGTTGGCATCCTTGAGATGTCATATGTGAGCTTGGCCACCAGGGGGCCCTGCCACCCAGGAATCTGTGGGAACGTGATGTGCGTGGTATAGATTTTGGTGGATGCTGGGGATGTTTTCCGTTTTACTAGCCTTTGAGTTTTACTCTCAGTTTTCTCCATGGTAATTTTTATCTTTTAGTACTGTGCTCTCTTGCAAGGGATTTTGAAGTCTTCTAGTATAGCAGAAAATGGCAAATACGGCAGCATACAAACCATCTCCTCCACTCTGCCTTGCAGATACGATCGAGCACTGACGCTGTGCAGTGTCACACTTTAGACAGCTGCCACCCACTGACTGGAGGAGCCCTGGCAGGGACACCTGCGAGACTGTCCCTGTCCCAGCAGAGGGAACCCCCAGGGCTGGAGATGGCTGGGCTGGCAGGCTGCTGGCCCCCGACTTCCTGTCATGTTTGCAATGACAGCCAGGTCCCAAGTCTGACCTGGGGCAGCACCACAGCTGCCACACGCAGGGAGGAAACACCCCAAACACTCAGCGCAGAAAGACCAGCCGCATGCCAGAGAGCCCCTGGGCCCTGAGAGGCCTTGTTCCACGTGTCTGGATGCAAGGAGGTGACGGGCGGGGGACAAGTGGCTGGAGGGAGCAGTAGGGGATGGGTCCAAGTTGGGTCTGGGACGTGGACGGAAGTGGGCCACTCAGCCTTCCACCCTCCACATCATGCTGCCTCGCTGAGCCGCTCTCCAGAACCACCTGCCCTGTCTCAAAGGCTTTCCTCCCCTCTCTCCCCTCCTCACAATCCAATGCATCCATCGGCCTACTCCAAAGGAAGCCACATGTTCAATGCACTTTTGTGAAGAGGAGAGACAAGGTATGCATTTCTGGTCACGTCGCCCATGTCCCTGTGGTGTCCTGGCCTCTCTCAGGCCTCAGGCCTCCCCACTGGAAAATGGCAGGTTAGGTTACTGTGTATTTTCAAACTGTTCCCTGGGTTCTGCAGGGGTTCTGCCAACATTTTATGGGACATTTTTTTTCTAAGACAGGGTCTGGCCTTAAACTCACTATTTCACCCTGACTGGGTTCAAACTCACAACGATCCTCTTGTCTCAGCCTTCCAAGTGCTGTCCAACTCCAAAATAATTCGTTTTAATTAGTAAGTAAAGTTTTACTATTTATTGAGACAGGGTCCTGTGTAGTTCAAGTTGAACTTCAATTTTTTTTTTCCTGTTTTTTTTTTTTTTTTTTTTTTTTTTTTTAAAGAGATAGGGTCTCACTATATTGCCCCGGCTAGAGTGCAGTGGCTATTCACAGGCGCGATCCCACTACTGAGCAGCACGAAAGTTTTGACCTGCTCCATTTCCGACCTGGGCCGGTTCACCCCTCCTTAGGCAACCTGGTGGTCCCCTGCTCCCGAGAGGTCACCATACTGATGCCGAACTTAGTGCGGACACCCGATCGGCATAGCACGCTGCAGCCCAGAACTCCTGGACTCAAGCAATCCTCCCACCTCAGCCTCCCGAGTAGCTGGGACTACAGGTGCGCGCCACCACGCCCGGCTTCCTGTTCTTTTTTGAGATAGGGTCTCACTATGCAGTTCAGGTTGACCTTGAGCTCACTTTGCAACCCAGGCTGGTCTTCAACTCCCAAGGATCCTCCTGTCTCAGCCTCTTAAGTGCTAGGATTATAGTTATGTGCCACTGCACCTGACTGAATTGAGGTCATTTTGGGAGACTCATTGAGACTTTATCTCAAAACAAAATTTAAAAAGGGGCTAGGAATATAGATTAATGGCAGAGCACTTGTGTAGCATGTGTGAAGCCGGGTTTGATCCCCAGCGTTTCAAAAAAGAGAATCTAATTCCAATTATTTCTAATATTCATCAAGATAAATTTGTACTAGGAAAATCTTCCTCCATTCCTCCTTTTTGGGGTCACACTCCTTTTCTTTTTATGACCTCATACTTGCCAGGCAGGTACTGTGCCACTGAGCTATATCCCTGGCTCTTTCGTCTTTTTTGTAGTAGTGGAATTCACCCAGGATTTTGCACTAAGCCACACCCTCAGCCCTTTTTTTTATTGAGACAGGATCTTGCTAAATTACTAAGTTGCCAAGTGTTGGCTTGAACTTGTGCTTTGATCTTCTAGGGTGCCAAAACTAGGGCTGCACTGCCATGCCTGGCCATGCTCATGCTTTACCAATAAACACCTGCTGGTTTTAATTTGTTTTGTCTTTTTGAGATACGGTCTCACTGTGGTTCAGGCTGGCCTTGGGCTCACTTTGTAACTTTTTTTTTTTAATTTTTAAAATTTTTTAATTTACACTTTGTAACTTGTAAAGTGATCCTCCTGCCTCAGCCTCCCCAGTGTTGGGATTATAGGAGTGTGCCACACGCCCGGCTCAATACCTGCTGGTTTGTATGCCAGATAAACTCTCCCACTGGGGCTCTGAGGTCCTGGATGAGCGCGAGCAGGAGGGTGGCACGTTGGGCCCTTACCTTATGGGTGAGTGAGTGCTGCTTAAGGTGGTGGATCTGGCTGAACTCCATGCCGCACTCGGTGCACACGAAGGGCCGCACATTCTGGTGCTTGAGCATGTGGTTCTGCAGCTGGCTGCGGTAGTGGAAAGACTTGTCACACTCGAGGCACTGGTAGAGGGTGGGGCCCTGGTGGGAGGCCAGGTGGCGCTTGAGCTGGGTCAGGGTGGAGAAGTCCAGGCCGCACTCAACACAGACGTGGCAGCGGCCACTCTCGTGCTTCACCTCATGGGCCTTGAGCTCACTGGGGTAGGCGAAACCACGGCCGCAGAAGTGGCAGCTGTAGGGCTTGACCTCGGAGTGCAGCAGCATGTGGCGCTTGAGGTGGCTGGTCTGCGTGAAGGCCTTGTGGCACACCTGGCACTTGTGGGGCCGCGTACCCTGGTGTGTGAGCAGGTGTGTCTGCAGGTGGCTGGGCTGCTTGAAGAGCTTGCTGCAGTGCGGGCAGGAGTGGGGCTTGATGCCGTTGTGGCCGAGGATGTGCGTCACCAGGTTGTACTTGGAGGTGTAGGACTTCTCACACATGCGGCACTGCCAGCGCTTCTGCCGGTCGCCCGCCTCCACCAGGTAGGAGTCATCGATCTGCACGTTGATGTCCAGCCGGTCCAGCTGGGCCTTCTTGTGGCGCTCCACGGTGGAGCCTGCAGCGTCCACCTCAAACTCACCCGCTTCCTGCCACACAAAGCCCTGCTCCGGCTTTACAGGTTCCGGGGAGGTCATGGTGGGGACCTTGGGATCGCTCAGGGGGGCCATGTGAGGTGGCTCAAAACCACACTCTGCTGGCAAGGCCTCCGGCCCAGGCAGCGCCACACTGGGCTCAGAGAAGCTGTCCCGGGCTGGGTCTGGGAAGTGAGGGTCATAGGGGGCCACGTCCAGCTCTGGCCTTGGGGCTCGAGGCAGGTGCCGGAGAGTCCGGGGCTTGCGGCTGAAGGTGCTGAGGTCGATCATCTTGACAGCGCTGCTCTGCACCAGGGCCTCGCAGCCAGCCCTGGCTACCTCAGCAGGGGCCTCGGGGGGTCCTGCACCCTTGTCATCCCCAGTCACAGAGACCTCATAGACCTCCTGCTCTTCCTCCTCCTCCGCCTTCTCAAACTTCACCTTGGGCACCAGTCGCACGGGCGGCCGTGTCTTCCGCCGGGTGTGCTTCTCAAAGGCCGCCTCCACCTCCAGCACCTCCTCCTCCACTGGCTCCTCCAAGGCCTGTCCATTGCAGGCCAGCTGGTAGACACTGGGCCCGGGTGGCCGGGGTTCCCCGATGGCTGCCCCGGACAGCTCAGGCCCTAGGTCTGGGTAGAAGGCTTCGGCGCTTATGGTGGCTCCAAAGAGCTCATTTTCTGAGACCAGGCCCAGCACTGCAGCCTGGGCCAAGGACAGCACCACCACGGCGTCCGTCTGTGTCCCTGAGTCCATGAAGCCCTCCATTCCTCGGCGGCTGGCTAGGAGGGCATCGCTGCGGAGGAGAAGGAGGAGTGTTAGTGCTGCTGGGCTAATGCAGGCTGTGTCTGGCCTTGCCACTTTGCTCTTGGGAACGGGATGCACATGTAATTACAGGGAGCAATGACATCTCCATGTGCCTGTCTCCTCCGTCCTGTGGGTGTCTGGGTGAGCCACGTCCCTCCTGCCTCAGTCTTTCCCAACTGTACAATAGAATACGGAGGGTGGCTTCAGTGGCTTCAGTGGCTCTTGAATAGGCCCCCTAAAGCTGTTCTCAGATATCAGATTGAAAACACAAAAACAACCATTCTGTGATTGTAAAAACTAGTTAACCCCCCACTCAAATGTGCTATGCCCCCGCTCATTCCAGCACACTGGGGTCCCACTGGCCACACTGCCAAGGCTATCAGCTTTGCACAGACCGGGGTCTGTGCTGCGAGGGAGGGGGTTAAACAAGTGTCACCATGGCTGGCACCTGGGCTGTGTGAATGGGAAGATACACACACACACACACACACACACACACACACACACACAGAGTAAATATAGGACAACACAAAACAGTAAATTAGGTGTTGAGGACCAGCTCAGTGTCACATATTTCAATATCTAAATTTACATATCTGGCTCCCTAGTGGCCACCATGCTTGGGACCCTGGGCTCTTGCACTAGGCCTCTGATCTCACAGGTGCTAGGAAACCGTGCCCACCTGCTCAGGTTCCAACCCCAGCAGAAGGATTCCAAGCAGCTCAGTGTGAAGGCCCTGGGTTCCAATCACTCCCTTGCCCCCTGGCCCTCCCAGAGGGGTGAGCCTGCCGCAGCTCACCCTGGGCTCCCCAGGACTATGATGTACCAGCCATCTGCGTGGGACATGTGGAACCTCCAATGGGCCCTAGGTCCCTGGGTCCCCAGGCCTGCCTGGCTCAGTGCCCGGCTCACACAGAGGAAGACAAGGAGCTGCAGGGTGCCCCTGGACTGCAGGGCTGGCACACGCAGCCAGCAGCCCTTCCTGAGGAAACCAGCCCAGGCCAGGGGCACCACCCGCCGTCAGCTTCCCCTTCCTGCGGCCACCTAAAAATACACAGGACAGGAATTTGGTTTCCTTGGAACAGGGCCTGAAGATTACACCATCAAGCTTGCAGTGGGGTCTCAGGTGGGGCAGAGAACTTTTGCAGCTTAGCGTCCATCTAGAAAAGGATTTACACACACACACACACACACCGTATGCCAGCTGCTAGAAAGGGCACGAGACAAGGAATCTGCAGTCGGTCTGGCCTCATGTCCCAGCTCACTTACTCACAAGTGACTGAGCAGTCACTTCAGCATCACTTCTGCACCTCAGTTTCCCCATCTAAAGAATGGGGTGAGGCTCCCACCCAGGTTAAAGGTGTGTGGGCTCCAGAGGTCACATGGGGGCTGAAGGGACTCAGCTCATCACAGTCCTAACCCAGGATGAAGAGTCCCTGAGATGGCCTGGAGCAGAGCTTTGGATGATTGTGGCACAAGAGCTCTGTGCTCAGCGCTGGGGCCACAAGTGCCGCGGAGCAGGCCCTGTGCACGGAGACGGCAAGGTGAGTGAGGGGCCCCGCCAGCCCCCAGCGGGGATCGGCTGTGCCCACTGTTGCCCATTTCCTGAGCAGGCTGGGGAGTACAGCCGCCTCCTGTCACCACCTCCTGTCACGCAGCGCCTCTGACACAGCAGCCCTCATGTGTCTGCTGTGGCTTTGAGCAAACAATGTGCTCAGCATTTTTTCTAGACTTCCCTAAAGGCAGGACTGGCGCAGAGGAGAGGAACTGAGCACGGAAGCGAGCCTGTGCTTGGGGCTGGATTCTGAGCTCAAATCAGGACCTGGAGCTCCAGGTCCACCTGCCCAGCAGGTGCTACTTCTTTTCAAGGGGACAGACGCTTGCCTGAGCCCTGCACTCACGCCACCCTGTACCAGGCAGGTGCAGGTTGTGTGTGCGTGTGTCCACCAAGTCAAGAGAAGAGGACAGGGACTCTGACCTGCACCCTCCCGTCACTCCCTGGGCACTGCACGGCAGCAACAGCAGAAGCATCCTGTCCCCTCGGGCCAGGCCTGGGCCCTCTCCCTGTGCCACGGCTCCTTTGCACAGCTGCAGCCCTTCTTCTGCTTCATGCCCAGTGGGCTGCCCAGGGCCCGAGCAGAGCCTGCCAGGTGCCCCCAGGCCCCTCAACCACCTGCCCAGGGCCCCGGGGCCTTTCCCTTCTTAGGACAAGGCCTTTACCACCTGGGCTATGGGATCAGAGCAAAAGATTCTGAAAGGGCCTTGGGCCCTCCATACCCTAGACAAGTACACCAGGTGTCCCTCAGCTCCCCGCCGCTGGAGTCCTCGTGCAAATGCTATAGACAGGGAGAGACAGAGTTGGCTGGTGTGGATGTGTTGAGAGTGGGTCTGGGGGAAGGGAAGCCATAGAGGGAGGGGAGGGGGAGGGGCAGGGGAGCCTGAGCTGAGGGAAGGAGAGAGGGAGGGAGAGACAGAGGCTGACACTGTGGACGCCAAGAAACAAAAGCAGGGAAGGGGAGGGGACACCAGAAGCCAGGACTGCCCTACTTCCCAGGTCTCAGTGTCACAGCAGGCCAGGCCAGCCCTGGGGAGGGACCCACCAGACTTTCCCACCCCAGTTTCAGACCCAGCCTGTCTCTCTCACTTACTGCTTTTCCTGCTTCTCCATTGCACCACAGTTCTCATAATCACTGATGTCAGCCCTGTGACCCTTGGCAAGTCCCCTGGACCCTCAGGCCGCAGTGTTCTCATGTATAAAATGGGCACAAAGCCAACTTGAAACATGGCATGTGTGTTACCCTTGCTTACTTGCCTGTGGTGCAGGATCCCCTCTCCTCAAAATGCAGGGTGTCGGCTCTCATTCTCCACTTTCTGCCTCTAGCCTCCTGCTCTGGGGAGAGGTGGCCCTAAAGCCTGGTCTGGTTGGTAGGACAAGAGCCATTTTGAACTAACAGGCCCTGGTGACACTGGGATCTGCTTTGACCCACTCCTGGCACCAGGGAGACTGTCCAAAAGCTGCTGAAGATGCAGTACACTGTGACTGGTTTAGGTTGATGACCACTCCCTGGAGCCTGAAGGTCTCAGCTCACTAGGACAACTCAGTAGTGACCAGGGCTCATGCTGCGGGGACTGGTTTGCTTCCCCACCCCACCCTGTACTAGGTATTGAGTCCAGGGCTTTTCCATTTTTATTTCTGAGACAGGGTCCTGCTAGGTTGCTAAGCAGCTCAACTTGTGATCCTCCTGCCTCAGCCTCCCAGAGTGCTGGGATGACAGGTGTGGGCCTCCAGTTCTGCCCTTGATCCCTTGATGCTGTCCTTGAATCACCAGGCTCTAATCCTGCAACAGAGCTACCAATTTAACATACACTGACCGAGCACCTATCAGGTATCAGGCTCTGTAGACCTTGGGAGTCAAGCAAAGCTCCTGCCCTCCTGGAGCAGGGCTGACAGGGTCTTGCAGGGGTGGGAAATATCAGCCTGCAAAACCCTGCTGGGCGTGAGGGACATTTAAGCCTCTTGGGAGGTGACCTGCCTTCCCCTTCTGGCCCATCTCCAGCTGCCTCTGCCCTTTGGCCCATAGAGAAAGGGAGTTCCGGGCTCTGGGCTCTGCCTGCGGCAAGGCCTCCCATTTCCCCTGCCTCCTCCCTGTGGACAGGAAGGTGGGCCCAGGAGGAGGTGGAAGTGAGCGTCCAAGGCTTGTGCAAGCTGCAGCTCCCTGCCAGTCTCGCTTCTGCTCAGGGGCTCAGAGGTGCCAGGGGTGCGGTGGGGTAGCTCAGGGGAAGTGTGCAAGTCTCTTCCTCTCTGGATTTGACCTCTGCCTCAGCTTCCCCTTTTCTCTGTGGACAGATTTACTGAAGCTCCCGCAGCCAGAGTGGCTAGGCTCTGCTGCTCCCTCTCCTCTTATTTATTTTTAAGTGGGGCCTTGAATATCTTGGCTAAAGTGATTCTCCTGCCTCAGCCTCCTAAGTAGCTGGAACTACAAGTATGTGCCACTGTGGCTTACCTTCTACTTTTTAAAATATAAGGAAATTTGGCAGCATAAGCGCCTGCCTGGCAAGCACAAGGTCCTGAGTTTGATTCCATATATATATATATATATATATATATATATATATATATATATATATATATCAGGTATAGTGGAGCAGGTCTATAATCCCAGCACTTGGGAGGTTGAGGCAGGAGGATTGCTGTGAGTTCAAGGACAGCCTGAACTGTAGTGAGACCCTGTTCAAGAAAAAAAAAGGTGGGGGGGGGCAGAAACAGGTCTAGGAGGGAAGGGACTGGTTCCAGGTCCCAAGGTGAGATGGTGCTAGGGTCTCTGAACCTCCCCCATGTGCCTGAGAGGCACTGTGCACATACCTGATGGAAGGCCGTCCTGTCAGGCCCCTCTCCTGTCCCTGCGCTGATAGGGCCTCTGCCAGGACTGTCCTTCCTTGGCACTAGAAATGTCCCATGGCATCTCGAGGACCCCTCTCCCTGCCCAGGAATAATGCTAGATGGCTGAGTTCTATTTTATTTTATTTTTTGTGATACTGGGCATGGAACAAGGGGCTTGTGTGTGCTGGGCAAGGCTCTGCTATGGAGCTGCAGCCCACCCCATGCTGGGTCACATGCTGCATCCCTGTGGCCATGCCCAGTGGTCTTGCCAAACACTGGTCTCAAAGTACTAATCCCATTCTGTGACGCAGGGAGCCCCCAAGGCATGGGTGGGCCTCATCTGATCAGTGCAAGTCCTCACAAACGCAGCTGTCATCTCCCCAGAAGGAAGTCTGCCTCCAGGTGTAACCTACAAACTCTGCCCAAGTTCCCAGACTGCCAGCCCCTGCAATCGCATGAGCCAGTTTCTAAAATAATCTATGTACCTCTTTACACATGTAGCTCCTCTTGCTTCCACTTCTCTGGTGAACCCAGACTGGTACAGTCACATTGATTCCTAATTAGATCTGTTTAGGAGGCCCATCGCCCTGGCAGCAGATGTGGACTGC